ATGCAAAGCATTTTACAAGGACAGAAACAAGATGCACCTTCTAAATACACAACATATTTGCAACTTCAGGCAAAGGGCATTCGCAGCTAGGAAACTCTGCTAATGAGAGCAACCCTGTGCTTAGTGGGAATGCTAATCAATTAGACACATAGCGCATTAATGATGTTCTTTTGCCTAATTAGATTAGCAAAACATGAGCACAGCCACTTTTTTTTCCCTTCTAACTTGTGCCCCCCCCCCCCACAGAGCAGCACCCATCTGGCTCTGGGGTGCTCAGAGGGAGGTATTTCCCCAGGCACCCTGGGTGAAAGCAGCTGGGTTATGCCTGTACCTACAACCCCCCCGTCCACCCCAGGGATGGGTAGGAGAGCATTGAGGGAGTGATGCAGGAAGATTTATAGTTATCCCCATAGCTTTAATGTTATGGAGGCTGAGGGCAGAGGTTTAGCAGCTCAGCTGGCTGCTCTGGGATGCAGCAGGGACCCCCCCCAAACCCCAGTACCTACAGAGCATGATGTTTAGGTGATTCTCAGGGAGGACCATATGCTCTCCAGCTTCCCCAGCATTCACAAGGGATGTAAAATCCAAGGGGACATTCCCAGGAGCCATCCTACTTGAGGCTATCGCCATCCTCACAATAATGACAGTAACAGGGGTTGGAAAAATGAGATGAGGCTTATCTCTAAGGGAAGAGCATCATTTGATTCAGAGCAAGACAAGAAGGAGATAAGATGCCAGAAACATGAGTCCAGAATAATACTCGCCTGTAAAGTGTAGGAACCCTGAAAAACGTTGATAAACTGTCCCACTTCTTTATCACTTTTCTTCCTGGTTATCTGAGTTATGCAGATGCAGGTAACACACTGCTTAGTGCCCAGCTCCCCCACGTAGAAAGGAAAGAAAAATGCTGCAATGTTTTAATGAGGAAACATCCCTAGAGCACATCCAAATGCAGTTAAAAGAATGGTACAAATCCAAATAATCTTCCCAGTTTGCTGGTTGGGAATTGCAGATTAGCATGTAAAAAAGAAAAGAGAGGAATTTGTTTAATATACTGTTTAATATACATGGTCAAGACCAGGATGGATGGGGCTTCGAGCAACCTGGTCTAGTAGGTGTCCCTGCCTGTGGGAGGGAGTTGGAATGAAATGATCCCAAACCACTCCATGATTCTCTGATTAACCACAAGCAGAAAGTCTCACATTAGGTTTCTTTAGCAGGTTGGGCTGTTTCTGAGGAGAAGCCATACTCCCGCACAGGGAGCAGCGCGTCTTTATAAAGCGAGTTAGACGGACAACCCATAATTGAGCCTGTTCGAGGTCAAAAAGCACAAACTGAACAGTACCCAACAACCTTCTGCTGTGAGTCCGAATGTCCCAGCACAACTCGCTGTGTTCCCATGCAATGCCAGCTCTCAGCCAGCAACAGCAAAGCAGCACAATTTACCCAGTGCGTTTGCTTGTGCCTGCAGCGCAGCAAGTGCCATGACCTGCACTTGAGCTGCTATGAGCTCATTGCTCCATGAAGGAAGCTAATTAGTATTAATAGATATTTACAGGCTCTGTATCAGAGCTGACAGCACAAATTCATCCCTTTTTGGTGCATTGAGCTCAATCCTATTGCTTTTTCTTCCCTTGAGTAAAACAAATCAGTATCTCCATCTCCCAAGCCAACTCCATGGACAAGCCACCTTTAGAAATGAAGACATACAAAGATGACTGGTAGTCTACTTTTCCTATTAAAATGGTTTTCATAGATATTGCTTAGATGACTGTATCTGCAATGCCATAAAGGCAGAGCTAGCTTGTGATTTTTAGTTTTGCCCTCTGCTGAGGTGGAAGGTTTTTTAGCTGTGATTTCATCAACTTTCAAAGCGTTGCTCCCCTTGGGACAGATTCTGTACTTTCAAAGCAGCTAGAAGAGTAAGAGATCTCATTTTTCATATTAGTTTGAACCAGGGCACATTAGCATGTTGAGCATTCATGTCTAAAGCTACAGTTTCTATAGTTACTAGTGCATTAGCGTGTCACTGAACTACTGCAATACTAATTTTATAGTAGCTCTACTTCCCCATTACTCCAAGGGTAGGTTTGTAACGAGTTTTTGGTTGCTTCATCCCATTGTACATACTTCAGAGAGGTTTCTCAGGTCCCTGTTTACTGTGTTACTTGGTAATGAAACAGGCAAGATGTAACAGCTGAAGATTTCGGTGTGAAATTTAGTCTTCTGTGTGTTCCTATGTAATTGAATAGAGGGTCCCTGGCTGGAGAAGAAACAGCACCTCATCAGAAGGAGCAGGATGGTCTTGCTTTTATCTTCTAAAATTACTGCTTGCAGGTCAACATGAGAACTTGATGGCAGACAAGAACATTTCGGCATTTATTCTGTTCCAGAGGAAGTTATTTCAGCCACAGAAAACGCTAGCACATTGTGCTCCCTCAATCCCCTCTGATGGAAATCCAGCACCATTCCCATAGCAGAGCCTCAGCCACCCTCCATACCTCGTGCGGAGCCACCACCACGTTTGCTGGGTTCAGTCTGCCCAGGCTGGTGCAGCACACACGTTTCCTTTCATTTGCCACTCTACCGCTGTTTGATTTTAAAGCAAGACAGAGAACTGATTAATTATGAGTCTGACCCAGAGCCCACTGGCTTAATAAAAGGTTTTTCACCGAGTTCAGCTGGACCAGAGCACCCTGGGGTTGTTGCTGAGCTCCAAAACAAGCCTCCTTCAGAACCACAGGTAGGCTTTTCTGCACAATAAAAGCAAAACAAAGATCTCCTGTGGGGATGTAAAGATTTCAGTCTCCTGCAGTTTAATTATTTTGTCACTTCTGCTCCTCACTCTGTGTTGCTTGGTCGACTTCAGTCAATGCAATTCCTATCCTAAGCAAGAGGAAACTCAGACCTGAAAAGTCTAATACTGCATGGGCAGAACAACGCTCCTTGGCCTTGCCTAACCAAGGGAAGATTTTGCCATGGGGAGAAGCAGCTAGGAAATAGCTGTGAATCCCTCTTACATCACTGGTGCTACCATGTACCCCTCTGCCAGGCTGTGGGAGCTTCACCCTCACAGCCTTTACTCCCCTTCAGTCAGTTATTAGGTCTGCAAGTAATGTTTCCCCAAAAGCCCAGCAGCCCCACTGCCCAAGGCTTTGCCAGTGAAGGGGAAGGAGCTGCAGAGCTCCAGCCTCTGACCCAGGTGGGGATGGCATCCCCGTACCTCTCCTTTCCACCCAAACCCATGCTTGCATTCCATCTCCAGCTTAGTGACAACCACAGTAACCACTGTGCACGAAGGCGAAGGGGGATCAGCCTCCAAACAGAGGTTAAACACAAAGAGGAGTCCAGGTGGCACTGCGGAGAAGGGACAGTGCTGTTCTGGGAAGTGGAGCTGGGGGTATTGTCACCTTGCTCAGAGTAAGGTGAAAGGCTCAGGCTAATGGCAGTCACAGGAAAGAAGGTATAAAAGGGGAAATATACAGAGGAAAAACAGCTTTTTGGGTGATAGTTCAGAGCTGCTTGGGAAGGGAAAGCTTTGAATAAGAATTTATCCACTCTAGTAAACTAATACAGCTTGGTCTGTGAATCTCACTTGCTGCATCGCTTTCTGATGACAGATTGCATCTATTTTCCCTGGATCTGTTTCTACATGCTAAAAGTTCACCTCGGACATTATTCGGGTCTTATAAAACGTATTTGCTGTTCTGCTGGTCAAACCTGGCATTCAGCGCGCTGCTCTGCTCTTGTCCTCTCCATAAAGCAGCAAGAGCCTGGTTTTAACCAGTGCACAGAGATGCTGGGATAGCGATGCTGAAGTGAACCCTGCTCAGCCTTGCTACTGTCTCCATTGCCATCTAGTGGCACCGGGGCCACGGTCCCTTCCCTCCCGCAATACCCTGGCCCACGGTGATGGTCAGGAAAAGGAACTTGGTCACCCCGATAAATAAAAAGGGGGGGGTGTGTCTTTCTTTTGATGCAATCAAAACATGACAATGTTTTTTTTGTCCTTTTTTTCGGCTCCTTTCTTTGTCCCTTTTTTTTCCCTTCCTGAATTATATTAAAGTATAAAACATGAATTACCAGTATTTGCTCCTGTTCCCACCCCTGACAAGAAGGCAGCTGGGCTGCTGTGGAGGGAAGCTGGGGGGGTACAGCTATGGGGATGGGAAAGCACAGAGGCTCTTCTGCACACCCAGACATAGAAAAGAGGCCACGGCAACAGCAAAAGGGTAGGAAACACTGAAAAAAAACCATCTGTGCATCACAATCAAAGCTTCTATTTGCTGCCATTTTAAAATCTCCAGGAAGCTTCCAAACAAATCCTTCACCAGAAAAAAAACAGCTCATTGACTGCCTGGGTTTTTGTCTACAAATAAATAAGGTTCAGCTCTTCCTGCTTGGACTGCCTTCTGGGTGCTCATTTGTTTTACTTCCCTGGGGCTTTTCCTCAATACCAATGACTGTTTGCTCATACTCTTTAACAGCATGAATCACCCCTCAAACAAACCACAGGTGACACAGGACTTCATCCTCCTTCACACAGTGTAGGTCTGGTAGAAACTCTGTGGCTATAACAGGGCAGTGATGGTATTACTTTGCCCTCTTCATTCTTCTTCTCCAGCAATCAAAAACCTCATTTGTCTTCAAAACAATTATCTTCCATCTCAGGAGAGGGCAAGTCAGTAGGAGACACCAGTCCATAGGGTCTCAACATCACCTGCTGTCCCATCAGTCAGACAATGCTGCCTGCCGCTCCTGCATCCGCAAGGGGCTTTACTAACACTATGATTTAAGCACAAACCTGAATCCAAACTCCTCCTCAGAGCATCACGGTGACCTGCAGTGAGGCCTGGACCTCATGGGATGGACCTGACCCTATTAACAGGAGGCTCCATGGCACTGGATTCCCAGGCATCATGAATCCAGCCCACTCCTGCAGAGAACAGTAGCTTGGAAAGGATGACAACTGACAAAACACACACACACACAAGTGCCCATGAAACACTGATTATATTTCTATGCTTTGATAGCAATATAATACTTCATATGAGACCGGGAAGCATACTTTCAAACATTTTAAGTTACCTGTACACCTAACATAACCTGTTGTTGCTGCTTACTCAGGTCCATGACTTACCAGTCCCACAGCAACATCACAAATGCCCAGAACCCCACAAGCTTTTGTTTTGCTCTGGAAACAACACACTTGGATAAAGCTCATTTTATAAACACTACAATTACATTGCAGTATCCATCTAGATATATATTAAGAAAAACTTCTACCTTCCATAAACACGTCACACATAAAATCTGCTCCCAAAATACATTCACGCATCTTCCCCATCTAAGATCCCTGGCTTGTACCCAAAGTGTCTACAACCTGGTAAGGGCAATTGCTGGGCAAAGACTGAGCACAGGCTGGTGTTTGCAGGTGAGGTTGTGAAGAAGCCTTTGGTTTTTGGGCGGTGTTGGAGTTAAGTCCTGCATCAGTGGGCCTAAGCCTGTCTCCTAGGAAAACAGGGCTTTCCTGCACCCTGTGCCCCATCAAAGCTGCACCAGCTGCCTGGTTTCAAGCCCCAAAAGCCATCCTCCATCTCACCTTCTAGTTTTCCAGCAGTTCCTGGAGATGCTCAAGTTTTTCCCAGGGGCTGGAAAACAAGGGCTTTGGAAGCAGGAAGGTCACTACCTGGGTTTGGTGGAAAGGGATCTGTGAATGGAAGAACCTGCTTTCTTGGCTCGACCACGCTCCCATCGCTGCCATGCCTGTCTGCAACAGGAATGGCTTCACTACCGCTCTGATAGTTGGTCCTTTATCTAACAAAGGAAACAAATTTAGGAAAGCATAAATACACAAAATAGACAAAAACATCTACAAGGGAATCCGAAGTAGCAGCTGGCACAACAGCAGCACCAGTTGCGCAGCTCAGTAACGTAGGTCTGGTCCCCGTGAACGTGGTTTATACAGCGTAGGTCTCCAGGGGCTGGCCACAGCTCTCCCCCAGAGCTGTACCTGGATTGTGTGGCTGTGCAAATACAGGCAGACTAAGCACTAACCTCGCCTGATCTAGGTTGAGAAGGAAGCCAGACATACAGCCACCCAAATTCCACTTTTCCCCCTCAGAAAGGTCAATATTACAAGCACACATTCAAAGGGAATGCTGCCCTCTCTACTTGCAAACAGAGCCTGTAACAAGTCAGCATCCCCTTTCCACGAGGCAATCCTTGGTTAGGGCAAGCTACCCCTTAAGCTAATGGTCTACAGATGAATTAAGTTCATTCTGCCCTTTCCCATCTACCCAAACCCAATGTCTTAACAGAGCAAACCAAGAGGAGCATTGCATAGATCTGTGTCTCGTGTCTTCCCGCACCCAACAAACAGCAAGAAGTAAGTTCAAGTTTCGCACAGTACATTACAAAAGGCATCACCTTTAAACAAAGCAAGGGGAAAAGAAGGGTCACCATGGTGTGAACCCTGCAGTGAAACGAGGCAGTGAACGTACAGTGCTCGGCAGCTCCTGTGGATGGCTGCCTGTAGTGTACTGAGGAACCAGTTAGTGATGTCCCCCCTCAAACCCATCTCCATCACGCATTCATCTGAGTTTGCATAAGTAGATATCCTGCTCCTGAACGAGAGGAGCGATGCTGTGTGTCACAGGAAGGAGGAGGACACTGTCAGGGCAGTCTGCTTCGCATACAGTAGTTTAAGGGCCAAGTTGTCCCTGCTGCAACGCAGACTACAGGACACCAGGGCTCTTCGCAGGCTTGGGAGGTCTCCATAGAAGTTTTGCTACAGTTGGCTTTACAATTGAGATGTTACAGCCCAGACCCTCCAGTGGTTTAAACCCCACATGCTCCATTGGAGTTACTGGTGCTTATTTCCACGAGTGGAGAATGTGGTCCTGGCTTGTCACAGACATAAAATAAAGCTACGGTAGCCCTTGATTTAAATAAAATTAAATAACTGCATATGGCATCAGCACACAGCTTTAAATGTGCTTCTGCTGTTAAGAAAATAGCAAGCACACCAGTGGTTGATTAAATTATTTATCTTGAGCTAAAAAAAAAGTGATAAGATTACTATTTAAACCCCTCTAGGGACAGCATAGCATCCTTCTCATTGTACTTCCGAGTCTGAGAAAGTCACTTGCATGTGTACAGTGCTATATATCCTCTCCAGCCGGCAGCGAGGGTTTGTGCTCCTGGTGGTTCCCATGTTCAGATGCATCCGAGCTGCCTGGAGCTGACTCTGGTTGGGGAGGTTTGTAGAGTAAACAGGCAACTAGGAAGAAGGTTGTCCCAAGCACCTGCAGCATGAAGACACTTCGTTACTCTCTGCTCCCCATCAGCCCAGGTGCCTAAACCTCATTTGCAATTAGATTTGCTGACCAGGCTTTGCGGAGGAGATGATGCTCAACATCAGCAGAACAGCACACAGAGCCAGAGCAGGTGGAAATCAGAATGTAGCCAGCCCCATAGCAATGGGACAGTGAGAACTTGGGAAGCTGTTCTGCCTCACACAGACACCCGAGGCACAGTGCTGCATGTACCAACACCGCCTGAGCCATTTGCAGAAGGCTTTTGAAAGCCTCTTTATCACAGCAACTGCTAACACTGCTACCTAGGGCAAGTGCTTGTTTGGGAGCAGTTAAAATAATGGGTTTCAGCTAATAAACAAGGAACACAGAGCTAAGCTCTCCTTTTCTAGCAGTGATCAGGGAATGGTTATTTACAGCCTGCCCACAGCGCCATCCCTCACTCTCCCTAACACGCTGCAGTTATATATTTTACTCCATTTCTAGCAAAAATCACTTTGGTAACTGTTGTGAGAAGAGGACATATTTCATATGGTGCAACGGAAGCTGTAAGCCTAGAAAGTAATGGGAATTTGAGAGAATGATGCTGCCTGGAGCACAATTACCTGGCGAGAAGCAAACAGAGCTTTTGCCTTCCCTGAGGACATTTCTTGTGTGAAGGGGAAAAGATCAGGACAACCCAGTTTTGTCAAATCCTCTCCCAGAGCAATTGAGATCAGGGCCCAGATACCTCCTAGAGACCTTCCAGAAAGGGAAGCTAACAGGCAGCATCACCTTGTAGACCAGTCCAGCGATGAGGGTGTATCGGCTCATGGCTGAGTTCTGGTAAACGTAGCAAGACCCTTGCTCACCACACTGGTCCTGCCAGAGCAGGCAGGATTTATCGATCATGGACCCAAAGGCAATGGGGCCAGGGATGCCTCCTGTGGGAAGAGAGAGTGGATCTTCAGATTGGGCAGCACCAACACACCAGCCTGGCAAGACAAAAAGTGCTTGCAGAAAAACATCAGGCTCTGCTACCACTGTGATCAAGCAAACTCATCCTGCAACATCTAGAGCCATAAGGTATCCAAAACATGCTGAGTTTCAAGACCCGAGAGTCCAGTGGGACCGTCCTGACCTCCGTGTCACACAAGAGCCAAAAGACAACACAGGAGCTTCAGTGCCTCTGCTCCTTTTATCCGAAAGTAAGGATACCTTGCAGAACATTGCTCCTCTACCCCATCTGTGGCATGTTACAGAGCCCTTCATTCAGTTTGCAAACCACATGCAAAGGGAATGAGGTTTTCCTGAATGACAACAAACAAGAGGAAGCATCCTCCTTTCGACAGTGCACGTCCCAACCCTTTTTTTCCAACCCAATGGGTTTTTATTCTTAGATAACAGCTTGGCACACAGTCCACAAAGCCAACAAACCAACCTGATGCACAAATTCACTCTGTTCCATACCTAGCGTTCGTACTACGATCCACTGGATCCCAAGTGCAAATGATCTTTGCCTGTCAGAGACACACCTGGGGAACAAAAGGAGACTGTTTAAGAATGCTGCCAGGCTGTATGGTACCTCCCTGTGGCATCAGGCACTAGGATCCAGCACTCTTGGTACCTCCATCCCCTCTGGAGATAGAGGTTCACCCCAGCACAGTGTCCCCCCAGCACTGCTGTAAACTGGGACAGATGTATGTGTCCCATGTCAGAGAATAGAGCCACCAGTTTGATCTTCCAGCTAGACATGGAAGTGAATTAGTCCTGATGCCTCTAGACTGACAGTAACAAGATGGTTCCCATCACATCTGCCCCATGAATAAGCAGAGGTAGATACTGGGGCTTCTTGCAGTGTTGGCAGAGGATGTGGTGACCCTGTGCTTACCGCAGAGTGGCTGTCAGGGCAGGAATGCTGCTCAGGAAGGTGAAGAGGATCACCATGAACATGAACAGCAGCAGCAGGGGCCTTTTCGCACAAGAGGAGGCACATTTCCCTGCCTCTGCATCGCCAGGGCCGGGCAGGAGGGTTTTGTCAATGCAGCTACACTCGTGATAGACCTGGGAAACAGTTATTTAATAAGAGAAATTAACTCTCCCACTTCTGCAGAGCCAACCAAATCACTTGAAGATGATGTGCCACCACCCTGTTAAGACACAGTGCTTTCACACATACCTTCTTGCCATTCCTGAGGTTTTTGGACACTTCTTTGCACCCAGCATGGCAGGGAGAGTAATACATAATGTCATCGCTCCCACAGACAGGGCTGTAGGTCTCCTCTAGACAGCCACAGTCAGCATTGCAGGTTGCTGTCAGGTTTAGGTGGCCATTGGGCAAAGCACTAAAGGAAATAGAGGAGCAGTCAGTGGGAAGACACCAAACATTTCCCAGGACAAAATAGGTAGAGTAAGAGAAGAAGAATGGACAGTAGGAGACGCATTGGATCCCCAAGTAGCATGAAGCCAGGCACAGGAAGGGTTAAATCTAACCTGATTTTACCCATGAACAGGAATCATGCCCTCCAGTTGTCTCTTTCCCACAGCTACGAAAGGAGTTTAAGTGACCAGCTCTGTTCAGAGAGGAGATTCCCACTTTTGTTCCTGCCTATCCCATTGGATAGACATTGAGGGCCCTGTGACAGCAACTGAGGAGTAAAGTATCTCACACTCTAGCACTGCTCGCATCCCCTCCCTCACGAAAGAGGGAGCCTCTTCCATGAACTCCTATTAGATGCAAAAATTGGGACATCTGTATTCTGCATCTCACCCTCAGTATCTGCCTGTAAGTCTGATGGAAGGGGATGCCCAGTCAACGCATTCACCCATGACTACCACCAGCACTGTGTATTTGGAATTACCCTTCCGTTCTGGCCACGCAGCACAAGGCAGAGGGGAGGGCTGTTATTACCTTCCCTCGTATGTCTGGGTTATTCCTGCCATTGGCATGTTCGGGCAGTGAATAAAGAAAATGAATATAGCCAGGAGACTTGACACCGTGCAAAGTAAACACAACTTGATGATTCCTGAACAGCGGAGTTTGAACTTATTCACAAGGAATCCTCCCAGGAATGTGCCTCCCCCTCCGGCTGGCACGACCAGATAACCTGGAAAAAGGGGGAAAAAAACCCACACAAGTAAGTTTGGAAATGTCAGCAAGGAGTCTTCAAGTCTGAATATATCAACTGCAGTGTGTCTGCATGAGGATAACCCCTTCGATGCTGTGGGGCTTTTGGTGGGAGCTCAGTGGGCTTTGCTACAGTACGTGGTCCTCTGTAACAGCTCAGGTAATGTGGCATGAGCCTGGTAAGGCAGCTTTTCCTACCCAGAGATCCTAAAACAGAGTCTCTGAGAAGCACATCATTAAGTATTGATGCTTGTTGGGCACCAATTCCTCAGTCCATGATACAGAAACCGAGGATCTTCCTATTTGCAGGATGCTGACAAAATACGTGCCCCAATTCCAACACCCCTCGTTAGAGGAAACATCTAGTTAATATGTCCTGGTAATGCACTAGAAGGAACAGACTACAATTATTTTGCTTTCCTCTAGAGGGTAACAGATGGCTACAGAAACAACACATTTCTTCCTGATGTCAGTAGATATAGCTTTGAAAATGCACTTGGTACAGATGCGCTGATGGGAAACGATCCTATCTAATAGCTGAAGATGATAGCTGCCCTGTAAATGAACTGCAAAGTGTGTTTGCCCCCATTCTACATGAGCTACAGTGCTCTTGTATTTGTTGGCAAAATGGGAAAGCAGCGCAAAAAGCGGTTTCCTCACCAAAAAAGGTAGCAGCTTCAGAGGCACTTAAACTAAACTGAGACTCCAGGAACTTGGGTCCAAATGTGGACATCCCAGCAATGAGGGTGGCTTCAGTAGCTCCTGCTAAGCAGAGGAAGATGAAGGTGGGGTTCTTCAGAAGCAGCAGCACTGATCTGGGAAGGAAAAACATACTGGAGTTGAATCACTGTGGCTTGTTTTGATTTCAGGTCTGTCCCCTATCTTCAAGTCAGAAGGATTACACCCAAGATACAGCAGCATCCTATCATGCTGCACCTCTTTGAAAGGAAACAAAACAGCAAAAAGGTGGAGTTTGAAAGAGCAGTGAATTTCCCTACTTAGAGTCCTACCAGCCAAGGAAGGATGCTGAGGATACTCCCACCTCTCCCTATACACTTGCACTAGGATGCTGGTGCTTTATGGAGAAAGTCTCCATTCCTAAATGAGGCAATAACTGAAAGATCACTACTATTCACCAGATCTCCATCATTTCAAGGCTTATTAGTCCCCTGATGGCAGTTATCTTGGGACTCCCCACTCAACCAAGAGCAGGGAACAAAGCTGCATTACATCCTCATATACTCACATGCTACTCATGTCCTCATGAGAATAACAGTCTCTGCTAACCATGGATGTTTTGCAGCTCAGGGGAAATACCAAGCAAGCCTTTCTATATGGAAGAAACACCTCCAAAACACCTTATATCCCACTGGAAAACAGAACACAATCCTCACTCCATGTAAGCACAGTTTTACTTTAAAAAAATTTAATGTATCTGTTGAGCAAATACATCTTATTTTTGACCCACTGGGATTTAGTAGAGTGCCCTAGATATGCCTGAAAAATTGCCATGTGTCATTTATATGCAGGAAGATGATCCCACAGCAATTCCATCTCCAAGATGCAGAAAGGCCCTCGGGCACATGGGATGGTCTCAATTACCTCTCACTATCTCAGACACTGGACTAAGAGGGTTGCCATTGCTTTGCAGGGGGTGTTTTGTAATGAGCTTGAGGTTCTGCTGTGTAACTTTCCCCAAGTGTAGCCTGGACCAGTACCACCGATCATCCCATTTCTGAGGGGGGCACAAACCCCTTATTCCGTACTGATGGCAGTGACAGACAGGGATGCTGTGGGATGCTCGCTGCATTGAAAGACACAGTTATTTACCACCTACTGATTTGGAGGAAATATGAAATCAGAGAAAACCTAGCTGTAGTACAACTGGGAGACGTGCTGAGGCTCAGCGTCACATTCATGCAACATTACCCACAAAAAGCAGAGAATTTCATTACACTAAAAGAGCAAAGAAGCTGAAAGACCAAAATACAACCCATTCTTACACTTGATTACAGGGCGCTTTATAGGAACCATCATCTAGCTGTTGGGATTAGCTTAATTTGCTAAACTATTTTTCAGCAATGATCTTTTTGCTCGTGCTTTATTTGGAAGCACAAAGCTTAATCTCTTCACAGGAAAACGCTTGGAAGCTTTGTGGCTGATGTAGAAAAAGTACAATGCCTTCTCCTTTTTACACTGCAAGAGAAAAAGAGAGGAGTTCCCCACTTCATGCCTGCTGGCCAAAGGCTACAGGTTAGACTTGCAGGCATGAAAATGCAGAGGAACTCCCTTCAGCACCAAGAGTAAAGATTTACTCAAGTAATTCCATCTGTAGACAGAAGATGTAGTTGTGAGGAGCTACAGCATATAAAGCATTACCAAAGTCAACACAGACCTTTTCACTGCTATGAATAGAACTTCAAACACACCCAGAAACCACCTAACTCTTAAATAGTTTTGACTGTCCTCAGTTTCTGCAGCCAAAGGGATTTCAGAAGGCTCCGCATTGCCAAAAGCAGAGTCCCATCTCTAAATATCTGATCCTGCAAGTCTTGACTGATAAGGGCACATAGAGGTACTCTTTCCCTGTGTAACAGACCTGCTGAGTAGGCTGGGATCACCTGAGGCACATCCTCTGAGAAACACTTGCATGCCCAGGACACCCCAGATGTAACAGAGTATGATCACATCCTAATGATTCATTAATAATAGATATTTACGGAGCTTTAGAGCAGGCAAATGGGGACTTTTCCCTGCACAAAATGACTCCTACTGTCACCACCACCAGTGGAACAGAGGGCAGCACGCAGAGGAATGTAAACCAGCCTGCCTTCACATCGCATGGAGCTGTCGTAAAGCCATGGGACAAACCAAAGCCTCATCCTGCCACCTAATCTAAGAGGGAGGAGGGAAATACTGACCCCAGCTTCTTGTGGTGAAGATCAAGGTTTGACAGACCAGCGAGGGACCCTCAGACTCAAACCTGTAACTCACTAGGACAAAGCCTCCTCTTCCTGGCACAGCTCTATGTGTCTTATGCTTGAATCCCTCTGCATTCACAGGAGGGGTTATTTCTCAAAAGCAATAATATGGAACCAGAGAAAGAAAAATGCTATTTCATCAGGGCTCTTCAACCCAAGAATTAAGACAGAAGTCTCTTGAGGGCAGAGGATTAAGCTGTATGGGCTGCATTCCTGTAAGTTCTTGCTCTTAGGCAGCGTTGTGAATACAGCAATTCATTACACTCATTTAGAAAGGACCTGATGGCATGGAAGTGTATTTTGGTTTGTCAGCATTTCTGCTTATCTTTGAGACTCTTGCTGTCTGTACTGTGAGAAAGTGTGCAGCATCCAATCTCTTACTAAAACAAAAGCAACAGTGTCCTTTAGCCTTGTTTTCCAGCATGGTCAACGTGTCCCTAAGAGCTGCATGCACAGATGTGAGCTCTTTAATGCAAGCTTCCAGAATAACAAGCCTTTAAGGCACTTCCCTTTTATTAATCAAAACCAGGGAACACGAAAGTCTGTTGGGTTTTTGCTTTCAGATGAAAGCCACACTAAGGTCTGGGCTGATGTGAATTGTTTGATATGAGTTGCCTACCTTTAAGTATTTATTCTTCCCAAACAAGGGGTGAAAGAAGGTGCACCCAGAGAAGGACTGACTGTACCTGCTGTCAGACAGCCTGCACTGAGAAACAGAGGGAGCTTTGTTCCAGATACACAAGAAGAGCCTCAACCATTGAATTTCATCCCTCTCTGCCATGCTGTTTGTGTTGGTTTTAGTCATAACCTTATCATTATTTAAATGCAGCTTTTGAGTTTAATTTCCGTGTGGAGAATAAGCCATGACCTCGGAAAATGGCTCCCAGTCAAGAATGCCATTTAATAACAGTATTGAAATCTGGTCAATGTTATATTCTTCATAAAACTCCCTTAACCCCTGGTAAACTTCCTATGAAGTCTCCAAGAATTTCAGGCCAACGTGAGCGGTTGCATTGACACAACACAGACCGACTGCTGCTGAACACTCCCATCCCGAGCACCTGCTTCCATCCTCCTCTGCCAGCACAAAGGCAAATACCGCAGCTAAAGCTCACAAGCAATTGCTGGCAGCAGCACAGGCTTTGGCAACACCGAGTGTGTTTGCCTTTGCAAGGGGCAGCCGTCACACATGGATGCAAATTCCTACCTAAGAACAGGACTGGGAGAAATACCAAAGGGGAAAATCCCTTCATTGACTGCAAGCTCCGAAAGGAATCGATACCCAGATCGCTCTGCAACATCCACAGCTTGCCCACCAGCTAAACCCAAGCAGCATCTGTTTAAATACAGCTCAACACACAACAAAAAAATCATAAAAGATTTCAAAGATCCATGGCAATAGTTCCCAGGTGGAAAGACCATTTTCTATTTTGGCCATTGGTTTGTTCCCACCTAGGATCCCCTTAAACCATTTCCTACCAAACCTCCTTTGGCACAAGGATGCTTGCCCACGCTGCAGAGCCAAGCAGTGGCTCTGAGGATAAGAATGCTGCTGTGTCACTGCTTTGCAGGAGAGATAAGAAGTAGTAACACATAAAGGGTGGCTGGAAGATGCAAAGGCAAAAGTGGGGGGGGGGGGAGGAATCTAAGAATAAAAGAAAAAGGGAACTGAAGGCTACAGTGCAGAATATCTTGTTCCCTGGATCAGGAATGGAAATGTAAGGGAGTTGTTTTCTCTCTTTTCTCATTAAAAGGGCAAACCATGTATATAGCAGGAGGAAAAGTAGAAGAAAGGAAGAAAAGTCCTGAGGGGACAGGGAGGAGATGTTGGACAACATCCAATGAGGTCAAACACAAGCAAACAGGTAGAAATAATGCTGCTGTGGAAAGGGAGGGAGGCAGTAACACCTGTGCATCTCTTTTTAGCTAAAGACTGGCACCAAACCACCCTTGGTAAAATAGTGCATTGCATATTCTTGGGTGCCATGGTTTAGTGTGAGGTGTCCCTGCCCATGACAGGGGGTTCGGAACTGGATGATCTTAAGGTCCTTTCCAACCCTGACTATTCTATGTGATATGACTGCAGGTGGATCTTCACACGGACAGGAACAGCCACTTGTCCCCTGCTCTCCCATGTGATCCCTAGCACAATTTCTAATTCAGCTCATTTGCTAAGAGCTCCCACCCACTGATGGGACCAGGCACTTCACAATCTCCTCACCAAGGAAGCATCAGCACTAGGTTTGAAGATGGACAAAACCTTCCAGCTAGCGTCACAGAAAGTGAGCTCAGTTTGGGCCTGCAGCTACCACTGCTGGATAGGGCTCCCTGACCCTCAGGTGTGGGGTGGTTTTCTCACCGAGGCAGATCTTTAACTGTTTTCCCAAAGTCTGGATCCGATGCTTTTTTGTGGCTCCCATCCTTTAGCTGATGAGCCTCTGACACCCTCATAACAATATAGCGCTGGGATCCTGGAAATGAGAGGCAAAGAACAAGAAGCATGTGAGACATGGGATGCAGATGCTGCCAAAGAGGTGGGTTTGCAGCAGGAAGATGCAATGCAACATCCTCCCTCAGCCAATGGCTGCAGGGGAGGAATGGAGAAAGAGGCAGCTGGAAAGCCACAGGGGATGGAAATCCATGTAGGAATTACTGTTTAAACACTGGAAGCTCTACCTCTACCCCTGCATCCCCACCTATACATGCACATCAGGTTGCAAGCACCAAGGTGAGCATGAGCACTATGCAGCCCCAATTCCCCCAAGCCCTGGTGGTGCTCCATACCTGGGAGGCGGTGGGGATAGCCCAGGATGGGGATAGAGATGAGGAGGGAGGCTGCTCCAGCCCCAAGGAAGCCGATCCACCATGCCCCCACCCACAGCGTGTTCTCCGGGGTGATGTCAATTCTGTAGGAAACAAAGCCAAAAGGACACAAGGGAGAGAGGCGGTGGTCTGAAACGGAGCAGGACAGCCCGGTGTGCCATGCACTGGAGCTGGCAGGGGATGGGGGGGACAGAGGGGGTGGATATCAGTGATGGAAACCAAGCTCTGGCCTCTCCCCCGGCAATGCCACATCCACCACCCTTCCTGCCACACCACAGCCCTGCCTGCCTTACCAGAGAGCACAACACTGAATGAGCCTGGGAAATGTCATCATTTAATTCTCCTTCAATCTCTGGCTTGCACATTCACCTCTCCCCATTGCATTTGGGCTTTGGGGGTTGCTGCAATCCTTGTGCCACCCCAGAGCTACCCTTTGCAAGGAAACTGGTAGAAATAGCCCATTCCTTCCCCAGGAAACCCACTCCCCATTTGTAATCCATTCATTTGCCAAAGAGCCTGTAAATGAAATAAGATTAAATTACAGATAGTAAGAAGCAAGGAGGGACTTGGCTCCCTGGCTGGGTGACCAGGAGGACGAGCAGCACTGCTGGTAGTGTTGCTTCATCAGGGAGCTCATTCAAGAAGTTCACCTGCTGCTCACAGCCTCATTAGCACAGGCAATGCAGCGTGAGGAAGGATTGAAGCTGACAGGCTTGCCAGCAGTTCTCTTCCAGAAGCAGCACTGATGCAAGCCACCCATCCAGCCTCAGCCCCCCTGCAGAAACAATGCTGAACGCCACGGGAACACTGCCACCCAGCCACCAGGTCATTTCTCCAGGTACTTATTGTCGCTTTACCCCAAAGGAAGCACAGTATAAAGGGAAAGGAACAAGATTGTTTTTTAACGACTTACTCTCTGCCAATTTCAGTATAAATATTTAGAAACATTCCTCCTACCAGATAACCCGCTGCAGGCCCAAGGATTGCAGCAGTGTAGAAAACAGCTGGAAGGGAAAACAAGCCACATGAGACAAACAGCAGCCTTTCAGCCAGGGATGCTGCCGGTGCCCAGCATCCCCTGCCCCATCACAGCAGCCCCATTCCCTCCCGGGTGCGGGATGCTCAGACTTGGACTGCCTTACAGCCTTATTCCTAAGGCATTGAGAAACAAAGCCAGGCAGTTTTAACAAGTTCTCATCTCACACTTAAGTCCCAAGGAAACTTTTGCATCCAGCGTGTGAATTCCCATAATATGGGGCAGGCAAAATTGGTGCAATGGGATATAACAGGAATGTAGCTGATCCCGCTGCCACATCCTGACTGCCAGCATGATGGGCAGCAGCATGGTCTCCTCAGTGACAGTACAAGATGTCTGTGCTAAACGCAGCACCACTGGCCCTTTTTGGTTTGCTGCCATGGAAAGATCATCCACTTACTGAGGATCTTGTGATTGCCCAGAGAAGCTGTGGCTGCCCCATCCCTGGCAGTGTTCAAGGCCAGGTTGGACACAGGGGCTTGGAGCAAGCTGCTCTAGTGGAAGGCGTCCCTGCCCATGGCAGGAGTTGGGACTGAAGGAGCTTTAAGGTCCCTTCCAACCCAAACCATTCTATGGTTCTCTGATCTCCTTCTCTCCCTGCACAGCCTTCTGATACAGCAGCATGGGCAGACACTGCTAAATCCTGAAATTGCTAAAAAGTCATCTCTTTTAGCAATTTCACTAGGTAGGACTGTAAGTATTTGGCAATTGCTAAGTGATCAGCAATACAGAGCAGTGAGCTGAGCCTCTTCTCTTGGCTGTGCATTGCACCAGCAGCATGTGAGCAGCCCAACGACCACCCCTGCTGTGCTGCCCCATTGCACAGATCACATACGGCTTCACTATTATTTGCCAGAGACACTAATGCCATGCACACTGGAGGGTTCCCCCAGCTGGTTGCACGCCAGAAGCAGGAGGCACCTCCTGACCTGCAGGGAGTGAAAATACCCCATTGCACTTACAGTTCCTGCCTGTAACTAAGCAGAACCTCCCCAGCAGCTGCCACTTCCCTCTGATTACCCCCCTTGCCTGTTATTGGGAACAAAAGACCAGGAGAGCTCTGCACTGTTCAGTGCCAAGGCAGATGAACCAGGTCTCTCACCACCCATCCCACGCGTTCGAGCTGCCCCTGCAGCTCCACTCACCAATGTACACAGGGGAGTAGTTAGTCTTGACGTTTTCATCTAAATAGGTGACACCGAGCGTGTAGAGCGGCGTGGCTCCCATCCCATGCAGGAACTGTCCCAGCATGAACATGAACCTGTAGCTGGAGAGGCTGGAGGCAGCCTGGGCACAGGGCAGGCTTTGGTTCCCCCCGCAGATGCCCACCTCCGCCGCCGAACGTGCTTCATACGGTCCCGTGGTGAAGTGGGGCAAGGCGAAGAGCAGGGAGCCCAAGCCCATGACCAGCACCCCCCAGCCCAACCAGCGTGGTTTGTGGCCGTTGCCCCCAAAATAGCTGACGAAGGTCAAGCAGACGCATGCAGCGATGTCGTAGGAGCTGGCGATCAGACCGCTCTGGTAGCTGCGGAGGTCGAAGCGTCGCTCGATGGAGGTGATGACCGTGTTGATGAAGCCGTTCACTGTCATGCCTTGCAGGAAGGAGGCCACGCAGAGGAAGAACAGGACGCCTTTGGATGTGTTGAAGAGCTGTAAGCACCCCGGGGTGAACCCCCCCCAGCCGCATGCCAGTTCCTCCCCTTCGGTTGACACGTATTTAATCCCTTCATGGAATTGGGTCTCCTCCTCTCCAGGGGTGGTGGAGCAGAGGGGTTCAGCACACGAGTCGGAGGGGCTGGGCACTCCAGAGGACACGGTGCCATTGCTCAGTGGGGTGCCACAGGCCCGGCTAGCCTCACCAGGGGCGGGATGTGAATGGGACAAGTCAAGTGTCTGAGTGAAACAAAAGCCATTTTCTCCAGTTGAATTCTGAGGCATTGCCATGAACGGGGACACAGAGTCAAGCAGGAGGTTGAGGCAGGGCTGGAGGCCAGGGTGCTGAGGACCTGCCTGGCTGAGAGATGCAGCTTTCGGCACTCACATCAGTAGGGAGATGGAAAAGGTCTGAGCCAAGACCATTCTGATCTGTGAAGAGAGAAACTTTATACATCTTTATACAAAACCATGCTCAAACCCCTCAAATATTGTCCTTTCTAAATATATAATTATTATATATAGTATTTAAATATATAGATATAAAATTAGTGGGGTTTCACCATGCAGTTCGGCTGGATTTGTGCCCGCGCCATGGGGTGTGTTAGTACCTCAGGTGTCAGGGCACAATTAGCATTACAGAAAAGAACAAAACATTCAAAAGCATTAAAGAAAAGCACCTCTAAATGCAGTCTCCCTGCCCACTGGAGCCCCTTACCCTTCCTTTAGAGAAGACCCTGGTTAGACACCAGACCCTCACCACCTCTGTCCTTCTTCTTCCCGCAGAGACCAGAGTGCACAGCTACAGGTTCCCCACTGTTAAAAGTCCTCTGGTCTCTTTCCCACTCTGCCAATAATAGTTTATAATTATCCCAAAAAGTTTCCACAGTCAGACTGATTTTATTCCAAGCCCTCAGATCCGTTTACAACTATTCAGTAAAATCCTTTCTATAACTAATTAGACTACATGCCATTTCTGAGTGAGCTGGAGGGCAGAGGCAGCTGACTCTAACCTAATTACCAATGCAGACTGCCTTCTTTCAACCAGTTCATGTGCATCAGCACCTGATCATGCCAGCAACCAAGAGTAATTTTCCTTAAATGCCTTGGCTGAATATATGCCATATATACATATGTATGTATATATGATGACAATAAGGTTGCCTCTTGAATACTGGTCTTACATATGCAACAAATGCTAGGCAAGAACTGTTCTATTAGAGAGCATCTTCAAAGCATCCTGTATTTCCCAGTAGTTTCACAGAATCATGGGATGGTTTGGATTGGAAGGGACCTTAAAGCTCATCCAGTTCCAACCCCCTGCCATGGGCAGGGACCCCTTCCACTAGAGCAGCTTGCTCCAAGCCCCTGTGTCCAACCTGGTCTTGAACACTGCCAGGGCTGGGGCAGCCACAGCTTCTCCAGGCACCCTGTGCCAGTGTCTGTTCAAAAAGCTCTTGTAAAAGTGTTCCCCTTGACGTGTGAATCAACCTCATCAGCAGGGAACGAGGAAAAACATATTGACATTTGCCTGGTAGATAATAGCATGCACGAGCACTGATGTGCTTCCCTGTACCAGCAGTTCTTGCAGGCACAGGAACAGGATCACCCTACTTCTACTTTAGCTGACTGAGTACAGTACAGGAAAACTTCGGTTGTAAAAGCAAAAACTAACTGCAGGTGTTAAAGTTTTGCTGCAGAGACAGACTGTTGCAATATGTTGGCACAAAAAGATAATGCCTTGGATGCAAAGCTATATTACCTCACTTTTTCATCCCTCCAATGTTCTTATGACTCTTACAGCTCTAAATCTGTTTCCTCATCTTTGGATGCAATATTGGAAACAATAAATAAGAGTTCTTTAGCACTCTATTAAAGTCAGAAGAGATTATGAGGTACTGGATCAGTCTCTAAGGGGTGGAACTGTTCATGTCCATGTAAATCAAACATGCCTCCTGCACAGGAGCCAGCTGACTTCAGCTGTGTGCTTCCCATACCAAACACAAGTCTGATGTTACGTTTGGCTGCACTTGTAAAGAAGGGTGCTTGGCTGAGGACTGATTTTGCTGTCACTGATGTCAGCTGATAGAAAAAGCCTATCTCTGTTAGTTAGCTGATGTGACCAGCAGCCAAGAGCTTCCAAACTGGCTCACCTTCACGCTGGAGGAAACACTCCTACTGCCTCTTCACCAGCACTGGGATACCTCCTTGATACTTCATGAACATATATATTGACATTACATATTGACTTTTTGGTATTTCACGAGTCAGGAAAGAGATTACAGGTCCTTATTAAAGTTGTCTTTTTCTTGAAGTAGGAGTGTGGGCCACTGGACCCAAGTGACCACATCATCCTCCCCTTCAACTATGGGTACCCTCAGTCCTACTGCAGCAAACACAGTGCGAAACACATCCAAGCAAGCAACCAGCCTTTCCTCCAAGCAGCAGATGTTTCCCCACACACAGAAGCCTCTCTGCCCCCAAAGCCCACGTCCTGGCCATCTCCCAGTGGAACTGGGCTAACGACTTGTTCCCAGGTGCTGCAGGCAGGAAGCCCATTCCTGCTCTGTGCTGTCTACCAAGCTGCTTTTTATCCCTTGAAGTATTTATACACTGGCAGCCACACATTCACTGGGAATATCAGCCTTCATAGGAGCCATATGCCACTTTAGAGGACAAAATATGATCTTCAGGGAAAAAAAAAACCCAACCAACTTCACGCACTTTCTAATCATCCTTATTCATCTAAGCCATGCATTTATTGCTTCCCATTCATCTCTGGTTTTAATGACTCAGATGGTGATTTCTTGCTTACATTGAATCGGTCCCAAACCTATTATCTCACAGCTATAGATTTACTCATCTGACGGCAAGATTTTGACTCCGTTTTTTTCAGCTGTGCAGCTGGTTCCAGATTGCCAACATCACCAAGCCAACACGACAGAAGTAGCAGGGCAATGAAAGCCTATGATTTGTATTTCACAGTGAAATCTGTAAAGACTCCCCCACCCACCTTCATATTTACCATTAAATCAATAGTAAAACTTGCAAGGTTCTCATCAGGTGATTGTTTAAAAACTCACAGGACCAATTAAAAACATTCTGTGTCACTGCCAAAGACTGTGATTAAATTAATGCTCCAAATTAACTCATTACTGACATGCAAAATAATCCCATTTGCTGAAGCATGCCTAATAATAGTTAATCTTCCCTGCCACTCCATGGGTTTTGATTTTTATCGTTGTAAATAACATTTATTCATAAGTTGTGCTTTCCATAGCTGAACACAGTTTATGGTTTACAGCCAGACTTAATCATTTCTTCAATGCTATGGCATACATGGAGATATTTGCTAAGGAGCAGGGACAGGAGATTTAAAATGATCAGACAATGCACTGCAAACTAGGGAAGCGCAGCCCCAGGGGATGCTCAGTGGCTGCTCTGGTCTCAGTTACTCTCCTTGATGTGAGAGTGAGCCTGACCTTACTAAGTACATGCTTTGGGAAAGTCCACACCCAAGTACCAAGCTCACGTCACTGCAGAAAGAGACCATTTCATCTGGGTTTGTACATTTAATTTCTCTTGGTAACACATACTGAATTTTTCTCGGGTATTCTGGCTTCAGAGGATTATCAGTGCTAATTCTGTCATGGCTGATAAACGCTATATGGATCAAGTGTAATCCACTCGCTGCTTCAGGAACAGGGAAGCCTCCCAGAAGTGAGATAAATCCATGTCCTAGTCCTGTGAAGGGGGTTTGTACTCAAGACACTGGTTCAGTTAAAAAGGGATTAAAGCAAGCATGGCAAGATGGGGTTGTTCACCTGCAAGACTGAATTGTTTTCCTGGCAGCTGAAGAACTTTACCCAGCTCACACGAAGGATGAACCTTGCATCTTTTCGCATGCTTTTAAAAAGCATCCTTGTGCTTCAGCAATACAGAGGATGCTGCTGTTGCCAGGAACAGCATCAGGACCAGCCCAGATCCGCTCGTAAGCGATTCCTACAGGAACAGCATCAGCCTGCACACATAGAAATGTTTCAGGAATGAGAAACACACCCAGAGAGCAGCCAGCTGACCAATGCTGTGCTCCCCATCAGTGCTACAAGGACAGCTTAAGTGCAGGGGAGGAGGTACCCAGCAGAGGATGGAGATGGCAGTACACTGGGCCACCCCGCTATTGCAGACTGCTTTCACATGATTAGTTCCACCAGTGTCTGATGCATGGAAGAGAGCAGCAGAAACTGGCTTTAAACTGTCACATGAGCAAGGGCACATTTATAAGTATATAAATTCCAAATAACAAAGCTTAGCACTCTCAAATGCTTTGTGTTTTTTCCAAGCATTTTCCATTCACTGGCGAATTAATGCAATAATATGCAAGCAACCAGGAAGGTGGCTTGGATAATTTTCAATTAACTGCTTGAAAATGCTTTGAAGATAAATCTAGCCAGATTTTCTGAGCTTACGTATTTGTTCCAGTTTATCTGTGCAAATACAACTGGCTGGAGCTGCCTTGGACTATCTTTAAAAACCTGCAGTCCCAATGCACAAAGCAGATTTAACTCTGCCACTAGACTTTGCCATAGCAAAGATTAAGCAGACAAAAGGTTCTTTTATGCTATAGTAACTAACTCCTTCTCCCTAAGGTCACTCTTGCTTCAATATCTTTTTCCTACCCACAAGTTTGATCAATGATGAGAAGGTTTTCGTGCTGGCCACGAAGCTGGGCATCTCCATGGCTCTTCAAACACAGACACACCACCAGCATGTTACCAAGGGCTAGCTCTGCCCATAGCATGCCACAGTTTTCCACCATTTGGATTCTTTTAAAGTCATTTAAGGGTGTTCAATATTCAGGATAATGTTTCTACATGAGGCATTAGTCAGCTTTTCCCAATGATTACCCATTAGTTCCTATGCTATCCCTTCTTTGGTTCTATGCAGAAGATGCAAATTCAAGGAAAACCTTTACAATATAAGAAATGAAACAAAATGAGCAAAACCCAAATAATGTGAGACACGATTTTGTGCTGCTTCTAAAGATAGAAGCAATAAAGATGCAAAAAATGCAACATCCTGTGTTACACAATGCAAGGGCACAGAGTACAGGATAAATGTAATAGAATAACACTGACATCTGCCATGGTTTACAGAAACTTTCTCTTTGTCATCCTCCTGGTCTGACCACTATGAAAGTAAAAACAAACAGAGGAAATGATAGCATGAAACTGTGGAAGCCAGACCACAAAAAAATTGATATGGCACAAACAGTACAAGGCACTTCTGTTGGAGGTGATGTGTTAATACTACACAGAATTACTGCATCCTCCTCAAACAGAGGGCAACAGTCACTGCTGGAGTAGCAAAGCCTTTCCACCGGCTATTCTCTTACATCACCACTGGATAACAGCCTTTTCAATGAGGTCTCTACATGTATCACACTCTTGCCAGGTATTGGGAATCTATTTTTCACTTGATTATAAGAGCAAAAGCAGAAACACACAATCGTGCTTGGTACCAAAACTATTTATACCCTAACTTGGGCCACTACCCTCCTTTCTGCTGACAGCCATTCAAAAACCATGGAGAAATGTGCCCATTTGCACAACTGTTTTTCCTTAGAACACTTGTCATGCCTGTGCTGCTGCGGGCCGCGAGCAGGGAGCTGTTAGAAGTGGGTTTCAAATGAACCCTCACTGTTGGAGAGCCATTTCTTCATGGGGACCGAATGGCTTTTCCCTTTCAAATGGATCACACAGATCAAAATCTGAAGAAGAAACACAAACCTTAAATCCTTGATTTCTGCTGCAGCATGGGAAGAAACCCATGCGAGGCACTACGCAGTG